TCATTCATTGGCAGCAGTTGGAGAAGTGACTAGGATTAATATAATACAACACACACACACACAGTTGCCCCAGATTTCTAAGATTTTAATTTAAAAGTATGCAGTAAAACAACGAGTGTACGAAGGCATGTTAATTTCCATATTGAAAAATTCAATAATCAATAGCCATTTTGTGAGTCCATTGTTGGATGAAGGCCTCCCCCACACTGCGTTGGTTGTGGGATTGTTTGACCATACTTCATCACGTTTGTCTCACTGCAGCTTGGTAGAGTAGGTGCCAGGACTGGTTCGGATAACCTCGCCATGTACATCAGCTGCGACCAGGGATGGAACTCAGGTCGTTGGGTTCATAGCACAATGTCTTAAAGCCACTCTCTGCTGACATTTGTATGTTTACCTGTATATTGCATGTATATACGCAGATGCCTTTGCTTTCTTATGTTCACGTTTCTTCTGTGTCACCCTCATTGCTTTTTCCATAAATAAATGGCTTAGGTGCAAATGCCCCATAAAGCCAAATTCTCTCTCTATTTCTCCCGCAGTTACCGACTTTGTCTCTGCACGCGTTTTCTCCCTCGCTGCAATTGCATGCCTCCCGGCCACAGTGTCACAAGTTAATAATTCGCTCCGCAGTGCTCTGTTTTGTAGTCATTTGCCGAATTTCCGCGTGGCCCCCGTAGGTCATGCACTCAGATGACAGGAACGTTGGCCCCGGCAGCGCATTCTTCTACCGCATGCCATTAGGGCTTCCACATTTGCACTAAAGCATCTTATAAATACCACCCGGCTCCGGGCTTGACAGCTCTGCTGACGTATGAAAGAGCATTGCTTTTCGGGGGGTGATTTCTTTTTTCCGTGGCCAAAAGCAACAGCATCTAAATGCCACCGTAAAAAAAAAAGAGGTGTGTGCACACATTGCATTTCTCCCGCGGTCGCATGAAGTGCGTGGGCAGCATGGCGCTGTGCGTTCGGTTGACATGTCACGGTTTTAACGACGGTTGGCTGAAAATGCACGGGTCTTTTTGTTTTGTTTTCAGTGTTATTGTAAATAAAATAAAATCGATACCTCTCCGAGCTTTGAAACAGCTAACCCAGTACAGAGTGTAAATTAACCAAATGTGTCCCCACGTCGTGTGTCTGCTGTTACCAGGACTTAATTTCAGCCCGATCTGTCTGAGGCCATTGATCCAGGAAACATGTCCGCACCAGCACACCACATCTATCATACCTAACCCCCTATGGCTCTGGCTACCAGTAGTTACAGGCCACCTACCCCAGTCTACCACCTACCCCAGTCCATCAGCAAATTGGGCAATATTTGGTGAGAATTTCAGAATCTTGATTTAGACTGGAGGAATCTGATTAGCTATGAAGCCCTTTTTCACAGATCTCCAGTAGGGGCAGGTCAGTAATTTAATCCCTGGCTGGCACTGGTTCTGGGTGTGTGGATCAGAGGTAGCGAGATCACTGCTCGGTCCATGGACGGAGGGGTCAGAGGTCAGAGCACTGAGCTAGCACTGCTATAATTTTAGGGTCCAAATCCAGGCAACTGCCTTGTGATTAAACCGGTGTAGTGCATTGGTGGTCTCAGCCCAGTCATCAACACTACACACGCAAAAATCATGCTTGGTCCGCACTTAAATTTGGATAAATTCAGCTGTGAGAATAAAAAATATTGGTTTAACTGTCATTCGACAGTCTCAGAGTAGAGTTTAGGAGAAAGTGCATTCCCTCCTGTGTTCATAATTAAAAGGCTACTTGAAGGATCTTTCGGGAGATGTCATGTGAAAAATATCATCCACATCCACTCTCTGACACATGGGACGTATCTTCTGTGAGAATGCCAAGTGGATTTGAAATCTCACGACATGGTGCCAATAGCATAATTGGAATACAATTGAGAGGGGGAAAAACAACCAAAGCAGACAGAGAAGCGCAAGTTTAATTCTTTTCACACTCCTCACTTTTCCGTACCCACCCCACGACCTCCAAACTCCCATCTTTGTCTGTGACCTGCAAGAGCTCATTGCTGTAATTACCACATCTTTACGTTGATAAAATGCTTAAATAAGTTCTGTCTCAAATTTTTATTTAAAGCTTTCGTGACTGCAGGGATTCATATTCTTGGTTATTTCGGTAAAGTCACGTAGAAGGGAAACAATAAAATAATAAAAATATAGAACAATAAAATTCTCACGACGTTTCGACTGCAACACAAGCATTCATCATCAGGTGTGAAAAATGAGAATTGTATTGTTTTATTATTTTTATTGTTTTATTGTTTCCCTTCTACGTGACTTTACCGAAAGAACCAAGAATATAAAAGTTCTGTCTCTTCCAAGAGACGTATCCTTCTAATGAGCATCATAAAAATGTCCCATCTTCTGTATGCGTGCACATGCGATTTTGATTGAATGTATTTTTTGACAAAATGATGCGCTTGTAAGTGCAAGATGAACTTCACGTGGTCGCTCCCATCCAATCACCCGCAGTTATAATTGGGACATTGCTGTAAAAGAAAATGCGTGCACCAAAGTATCCGATGTCAGGAGTGGCGGTTTATGAAACCATTTTAATTTGAATAGTTTTGAGTTTATTTTATTTATTAGACGGATGATCTGTGGGTTATGCCTCCTGCCTTTTCTTGAGAGCTCAGTGTTGGCTAAATTATATGGTGATAAGATTTTTTACATATTTTAAGGCGGGTGTTATCGACAAACGAGTTGGGTTGTTTTAGCGTTCGTTCCGTTGTTAGAGAAAACAAAATGGAAATGTGAGCATACTTACCCAGCATTTGTGTGATCTTTACCATCGATATTCTTTGTTTTTAATGAACCTCCCTTTAAAATAACATTTTCTAACAAAAAAATGGAATTGTCCACTGTCATTGACGTTTTTTGACAGAACATTTTAAAACTTAATTGGCGTTTTCTGTTTACCTATTTGCCCCGAGCATGTTTTCAGTAACAACTGAAACGATGGAAATCGTCTGACCGGGCCTCATGATTTATACACTAAGCAGAGTTTAGTTTTTTTTCTCTAATAGTTAATTGATTCGTATGAGGAGAGGGGTTCCTATTAAACATTTTACGTGTAAGTTTGATCCGGACACTTCTTGCATTTTGGTGCTCTCCCTTAATAACAATAATAATAAAAAAAACACATTTCATTCATCATCTCTCCGTTCATTGATTGGCTCTGGAAAGAGACACGAGCTGTCAACTGACCGAAACCATTTACCAGATATCCTATCAGCTCCATTCACAATACGCCCCGATGCTGTTTGCAAGTCCGGGCCAACTGCTTTGTCGCCAAGACTGAACTTACAATCCAGAAATGAATAAGTAATGCTTGCAGAAACCAGAGGGCCTCCTCCATTAAGCCCCTTACGCAGCTTCGTGGAAGTGGTCTACGGAAATTTGTAGATAATTTAAAAGAAACAAGAATGTTGCTTGTTTTTAAAGTGCCAAATGTTCCACCGGTTTCCAAATCTCCTTTCCGGTAATTCTATTCTGTTTATGCGCTTGGCAGCAACATGTTCATGAACTCGATGCCAATGTCAAGTTCTGCTGGCCACAACGAGAGGGCTTCAGGAGATAGAGTCCGTGTCGTTTTGCTATTTCCTCTTCATTTGAAGGAGCACAGGCTACAGTGGTTCACTATATAGGTTATATAGGTTATATATGGCCACAATCGCACTACTGTGACTTGTCTTTCATGCATCTCTATCTTTGTATCTTTGTGTCTCTATAGGTTTACAATATGGCCCATAGGTTGAGTTGCATGGCCACAATCGCACTACTGTGACTTTTCTTTCATGCATCTCTCTGTATCTGTATGTGTCTCTCCGTGTTTCTATTGGTTTACTTATACGGTCCGTAGTTTTGGGTTGCATGGCCGCATGGAAGTAGTGGAATACGCTTTCCTAAAGGAAGGAATAAACAATATATGAGGAATGGCATTAGTTTATTTATCTTCCGACTCTGTCCACCCACCGTCATGGTGTAATTTGTTATCCTGAGTTAAACCGCCGCGTGTGCCTATCAATCTGGGTAATAGTAAGATGCACAATAATTAAGTTATTGATTTTTTATTGTAATTAACCTTTTGAAATAGCCCCATAGCAAAGGCATTAAATTGATGATAAGAATAGTACACAACTCAGATTGGTCTGCGATGTTCCATAGGGCTGTGTGTGTGCGGTGGTAAGTTTTACGTTGCGCGTTTCTCTTTTTTGCCCGCTCGTTTCTGTTGTTGCAATGTTTACAGCTTGTTTAAATTCGTGAGGTGGAATCTTATATAGAATAATTTATGCCAGCAGCATTACATGTTTTGTAATATTTTACGGTGCATTGGATGCGTTGCAGACGTATTTGTGTAACCGCCGTTGCGACGTTATGAATGCAAAAAGTTCGCCAAAGTGCATTACAGTCACTTTACTCGGGCATTACATTATTCGGTGATGGTGCTGCTTCTACTGCGTTGGCAGTGATGCACAAACACAACTACAAACTCAACGCATTCGTCAATAATGCTATCGTACAAAGAAAAAAGTGTATAGCAGACAATATTTTGGGCAACGGTCCGTCTTCACGGCACGTAGAGGATGTGACGATGGGCCGTTGTCACAAATTTAGCCGATTTATATTTTTTTTTGAAGTCCACAGTGTTATTGAAAAAGGTGTTTGAATGTTATGGTTACTCAGGTAATAAACATTCCGTGCACACTGTGTCGTATTTATGTTTAGCCTGCTGGCTTATACCACTTACATCGGTTGCATTTGCAGATACGCCGTATAATTTTAACAATCTAAAGCAGCCGTATAAAAAAAAAACATACACATTCATGCTCTTAACAACAACAAAAAATACGACAATAATTTGATGCCAAAATGAACGACATCGGCTAGGAAAATTAAGAAAAATCGTTTGGCCATTCCAAAGAGGTTTTGCTCTGTGAAGTTTCACCGGCTTGCATGCTGTGTTTTCTCGTTCCGCAGCTTCCCCTGGACGTGTTCAACAACTACTTCAGCCTGGGCTTCGATGCGCACGTCACTCTGGAGTTCCACGAGTCGCGGGGTGAGCTGAGATTACTTTAATTTTTTAAGGCAACCACGAGGCTACATATTGCTCCGGCTGGTTAATTTTACCTCCGTCCTTCTGTCCAAATACTTCACATATTTCACAGAAAAACTCCCAAAGACATAAACCAGTTGCTTTGGAACTTAACACACATCTTGCCAGGACTAATGCCCAGATCTGTAAGGTTTTTTTGGTAAGATTGGCAGTTAAATACTTTTTCATCCGTTTTTATGTTAACATTATGCTGCTTAGCAGTGTGATTGCCACGATTCATTGGGGCAATTTTCAGGGCAATTGTTGCCAGCAATTGTCACCAGCAAAGTATTTACCATGCGAAACAACAGCAACTTGGTGTGGCAGTGGCATAGAGTGCCAGAGTTACATTGAGCCAATGAAAACTGTTTTTTGAAAAGTGTGCTTGATGAACAATATTTTTTTGTGCAGAGCGAAGGCACGCACCTTGGGTAGTCACGTGACATCCATCTGTAATATGATTGGATACTGCCATGCCAGTTTTCCACGAGGCGGAGCAGCAATCAGATTTGCCCAGATATGGAAAATATGTATTTTCTGCAATGCTTATACCGATTATTTAAAAGTAATGGTGCTTAATTTTTTTTGTTTCATTGACAATATTAAATGGTGTTGTGACGGTGGCTGGTGAAGATTGCCCTAAATTTTGCCCCAGCGCATTGTTGGCCTCAACCGACACGGCGGGAAGGCCTCTAAGTCCCCCCCGCCACTCAAGGCGCCGTCGCACGCACGTAACTCTGCTGGTGTTTGTTTTTACGTGCGCTCTCGGTGGTGTCGTGCTTAGCGCTACGCTGCGCTACGAAACCGGCAACCTGAGGTTCGATTCTCGCTCACGGCCAACACGAGCGACGGTTATCTGAACCGGTCTTCGGGCTCCACTAGGTCGACTCGGCCTCAAATGAGTACCCGGTGCGGTGTGAAAATGTCACCACAAGGAATATAAAGGCGGCCGGGCGTGGTGCTGGCCTCCCACCCCCTTGTGTGCCATGCCGCCCTTCATAGGGTGCTCGCTAACAGCACTTGCCCCAACAGTCTGTTAAGGCTGTATGGGGATCTTTGTCTTTTATGTGTTATTAATTTCCTTGGATTGCCCGAACAACAGGGGAATGCTTCCTTCATGCACTGGAAGCCCTTACACTGGCAATGAAGCAGCCTCGGTAGAATTCCACAGCTTTGTTTGCATTGTGCTAACAATAGCCCTGCAGTAACATGTACGGGTTTTTATGTTACAATTCATACTTTCGGATCTCTGTTAATCCAGTGCTGCATGAAGGCCTTCCTACGCAGTGTTGGTCAAGGCAGATGTTTTGACCACTCTTCACAAAACTGGATAGTGTGTGAGGGGGATGGCGGGTGGACAGGACTAGTTCAGGAATCCCTCGTCGCTGATGTGCGAGTTTTGAACTCGGGTTTTCAGGTTCACAGCGCGGTGTGCTAACCACTGCTCCGCAACTCCACCGCTTCACCCACAAGTTAGTAAATAGAGAAGTCAACTGCACAAATATGGACCTGGCATTAACAGATGCGCACGAACCTGACTGGCGATTACTTATCGTGGGCATCTGCGAAAGTGAATTGTGGTCGCTTAAGCACATATCTACGAAATTGAACGGCGGTCGCTTTCTTAGACGTCCATGAAAATTAATCGTGAATTACGGTGACCTCTGTGAACGCGAGCATAGTTGCTCGTCGACGGAAGATGGAGCGTTTTTTTTACCACCTCCTCCTCGTCGCGGTAACCCCGCTCGCGAAACCCGCTGGCCCTGTGTCCCCAAGAGAGGGCGTACACCGCCCGCGAGTGTGAGATCCACATTCGGCTCTGTTGTTATTATTTTCACAATGCATTTGCGGCACGTGTGCCGGGTAATAATAACCTAATAATATACGACTCTTCATCGCATCCAGGATACTGTAAGCTGTCAAAGGTTATGATTTCCTCTCGGTTACAAATATTCCTTAGGCTTCGCCCCGAACTTCATTGTTCCGGCAACGGCGCAGCCTGGGGAGGAAAACAAATAAGGCGGAGGGCGCACACAATCCGAGCGAATAAAAGGGCTGCGTGATCCGTACGCGAGCCTCCGAAATCTAAATTACATTTGAAGGAGCACATAATCAGCTTAGAGGGAATCGATCTGGGTTGTAAGGACCCTCTCCTGAACCTCGATTGAGCCCCTTTGTACCTCGGGGATTGGAGACCCCTACGTCAGGCCCCAGACATTCCCCCCGCCCCACTCCGAGGGGCCCTGGCCCCAAAGTAAGGTCACGGTGGGCGTGCAGCAGCGGCTTCTAAGCTAAAAACGATACACACTTTTTTTATTTTACCAGGTAAGGCCCACTGAGCTATATTTAGCTCTATTTCAGAAGCGACCTGGCCGCAAATGATAGCTCAACGAAATTTATAGCAGCCAAATCCTCTGAATAGACGTTGATCCTAAATGCGGGGAGGGGGGGGGGGGAAACGGGAGGACCTGGAGAATAATTGACACAACCACAGAGAGAGACATGCAAACTACAAATATACAGGCCTCAGGGTTGGGATCAAACCAACTGCTTCCTGCATACCAGGCAAAGGAGATAACACCTCGCCACTGGGGTTCGCCATTGTCCCTGGGCTAAAGAAAGGGCCTTGAATCAATATTGATCGCCCGATCGCAGTGTCGCCCCATTGATATTGAAATATGAAAGTGATATCGGTTGAGCGGTGTCTTTATCTCATTCCTGTGGCGTCATATTTTAACGCGCCGTTAGCATCGGGCCAAGTCGCTGACATTTATCACGTGTTCGGAACAGTTATCTTAGCAATGCTTAAGTTAATGTTGCATCACAGCCCGGGTACAGTGTATGATATTGCAGCAATATATTGTATTTTTATGCTGATCTTATCGACATGCGGGCAAGAAAAGTTACGCAGTTTGCTCGCTCCATGGTTTTAATGAATTGTTTTTTTGCGAGGTTTGAAAAAGAAGCAAAGCGAAGTGGAAAACAAGCGTGCGGTGTGTTATCAGGGGTGCGGAGATGTTCGATGTTTGATTACGCATCTATTGATGTGCTCGTAGCCACTGTGTGTATGGTATTGTGTGTGCGCGTGGAGTACAAGAAGCAAGTAGATGTTCTCTCTAGCCGGTGGGAAACCAACGTTGGCCAAGACGGCGACCAAATGTCCCGACGTTCACAACGTGCATGCACGTACATGTACACCTGGAGTTTAATATCAGAATATTAATTTATTCTGAAGAAATACGATGAGCTATGAAGCTCTTTTTCACAGATGTCCAGTAGGAGCAGGTCAGAAAGTTACAACAACAAACCAAATATTTCAGAATATTTCAGTTGGAGCTGTCTAGGGCTGACCTCCAGAAAATATTTCCCGCAGGGTCATGTTAGTTGGAGGTTGGTGGAGTGGGGGGAGCAACAAATAGCCCAGAAAATATTAATTTACTAATGAAGCCCTGGTGTGCACACCCAACCCTGACTAGTCTGGCGAAATGCAGAGAAGGGCACACTTCCAAATATGGGCGTCACACCGTCTAATGAGTGAGTGTTGTGTTAATTGCGGAGTCACACCGTCTCACGAGTGAGTGTTGTATTTATTGCAGGCATTACACCATCTCACAATTGAGTGTTGTATTAATTGTGGGGTTCACACCGTTTCACGAGTGAGCGTTGTATTAATTGTGGGGGTCACACCATCTCACGAGTGAGTGTTGTATTAATTGTGGAGGTCACAACGTTTCACGAGTGAGTGTTGTATTAATTGCGGGGGTCACACCATCTCACGAGTGAGTGTTGTATTAATTGTGGAGGTCACACAGTCTCACGAGTGAGTGTTGTATTAATTGCGGGCGTCACACCGTCTCACGAGTGAGTGTTGTATTAATTGCGGGGGTCACACCATCTCACGAGTGAGTGTTGTATTAATTGTGGAGGTCACACAGTCTCACGAGTGAGTGTTGTATTAATTGCGGGCGTCACACCGTCTCACGAGTGAGTGTTGTATTAATTGCGGGGGTCACAACGTCTCACGAGTGAGTGTTGTATTAATTGCGGGCGTCACACCGTCTCACGAGTGAGTGTTGTATTAATTGCGGGGGTCACATCATTTCACGAGTGCATGTTATATTAATTGTGGAGGTCACACAGTCTCACGAGTGAGTATTGTATTAATCGCGGTGGTCACACCGTCTCAGAAGTGAGTGTTGTATTAATTGTGTATGTCACACCGACTTACGAGTGAGTGTTGTATTTTTTGCGGAGGTCAAACCATCTCACGAGTGAGTGTTGTATTAATTGTGGAGGTCACACCGTTTCACGAGTGAGTGTTGTATTAATTGCAGGGGTCACATCGTCTCACGAGTGAGTATTGTATTAATTGTGGGGGTCACACCATCTCACGAGTGAGTGTTGTATTCATTGCGTGTACGTACAGCATGTGGGCAAAATCTTGCTTCAGTGCTCCTCCAGCCAGGGCCAAGGCAGGCCCGACGGCTGCCTCCGCTGTAGGCGCTGCGTGTTTAAAGGCACGCTTGTGTGCGTTTCGACCTTCCATTGCCAATATAAGTGTAGCCTATTTTTTTTGCAGAGCGTGCGCTCCGTTTTGTTGGTGGCGCTGTCAGCCCAACAGCTGGAGAGCAAGGACTTCAACCGCTTAAAAAAAGTGGCATGGCCGAGGGAAATTACAAATCTGATTTGTAATGGCGTACGTCGGAGCAATAAGTTTCTGTGTCATCTCACCGTACCATGCGTGTCTTGGCCCTGTCGTCTTAACATCAATCCAAGCGACTCAGTCACCCGGCCTCATGTCCGGTCAATTCTATTTATTTATTTCCTACCATCAGCCTATGAGAGTTTGTTGGGGGTTTTTTTTGTCTGGTGGAGGTGGTAGGTTGGCTCAGGGGGTTTATATCAAAGCACTGAACCAGCACTTTTTTATACTTGGGTTTATCCCCATTTGTTCACTTGGGTCACCTGAGATAAAAACAGATTCTCTCGTGTGTAGCGAGTCTCTCGACGACCACACACCCGAATATATTACAACCCTTCTGTAATTTCATGAAAATGTGTTAATCCCATTTCCAAAGAAATTAAAAGGCAGCATTCTGTAGGGATCCATTGTACAATAGATCCCTACAGAATACTGGGTGAAAGTTTGTGACATCCCCCCAGGGTCATTCCTCGCAGTCATCTGTGGCTTCAGCTGGCACGATGGGGCTTTCAAAATGTCACATTGATTTTCAAGAGATGCTAATGTGGTCCTACATGATATCAACTGTGCAACAACTATACAGGGTTTGGCGGAAGGAAGTGATGGCGAAGTGTGGGTGACATCAAGGGCACTGGCCACAATACCCTTGACCTTGACGTCAAATGAGTGATTACGAGCAAAACATTTAATGGGATTGGTAAAAAAATATAAAAAATCCAACATTTTTTTCCAAGCCATTATTTTATTAAACATACAAATGCACAGCACACTCCTATCGCATAACCAGAGAAAGATGGAAACAAACACAAGAACGTTCATTCAAAGAAAATTGTGTTGTCTGCGCGAATGTTGGATAAACACAGAGATGACGAATGCATGAGCGCGGAGTGTCCGGGTGGTAACGGGGAATATTTAATATTTAATACAACAGTATATATAGTGTTTTGGAATTAAGACACTGCGTGAAAACGTGTCTGTGCATAACGGTGGAACTCACTGAACCCCCACCCACCGCCGTCCTCGCGTGATTGAATAATTCACACGATTGTCACATCGCAAAATGTTTTTTTTTTTTTATCGAGGAATGAGATACCACGTCGTGGCACTTGCACGCGATAGGTCTCAGTGGCCGTAACGCCGCGTTAATAATCACAGGCAGAGATCAGCGGAGGCAAAGCTTCTACAGCGCCCAGGTCATGTTTGGGACAGGCACCATTGCTTTGGTATTCTTTACGAGACATTTAGATTCTGACAACGTCAAGGCGCCCCCCCCCCCCCCCCCCCCAGCGTACGTTTGCCCCTTGTGCTGCACAGTTCGCTTGCGGGAGGTTCGGCGTGTGAATATGGGCGGTGGGTGGGTGGCTGCCGCCGTGGCGTTTACCTTCGCCCCTGTTCCCTCTTCTCGTTTCAGAAGCGAATCCTGAAAAGTTTAACAGCAGGTTTCGAAATAAAATGTTCTACGCTGGTGTGAGTATTTCAATGTTTGCAATTGCAAAAGAACAGCAAATTATATGTTTACACCTAAATTCTCGTATGTTGATCTACTTAGAGATTATACTACGATTTTTTATGATGGCTATGCTATGTGAACAAAATATTGTCAGTCTCCCAAAACGCTGGTGTAATGTTTTCTCAAAAGTTTTTATTTTGTTTAATTGAAGTCCTGTCATAAATTACAACCATTTATCAAGCCACGACTGCATCAAGGTATCCCCATGTCGCGTTAACGGGCTTGCTTGACCATGCCTCACCACGCTGGTCAGTGTGGGTTAGTGAAGGTGGCTTCCAGGACCGGTTGCAATATTACTCGCCACTGATGTTATCCATGGCTGGGAAGTGAACGCAAACTGAGGTCGCTGGATTCATGGCTCTGTAAGCAACCTGCTGCACCACCGCTCCACCCCCCGTGTTTATTTTAGGAATCTGCATTTGTTATTATCCCGTAATGAGTTCATCACAGATCTTCATTGTTACCAACAAAAGAATTCGGAGGAAACAGACACTTCTCACGATGCAGGTTCTGCATTGTTCATACCTCATAGGATTTCAAAAGAAAAGTAACTTTTTGCTCCAAATAAGAACATCAATAATGAACTGTGTAAAATCTTCAGGAGACATTTTACTACTGTACAGTGTATCTTGACAATTTTCCTTGGTAATAGTAAACAGATGTCGTTTTAACCGTGTCCAGTCGAGCAGAACAAAAAATGCAAGGGTACATTTTTTTCATGAGGCGGCGATTTGGTTTTAGAAGCAAAGGGAGGGCAGAATTAAAAGCAATTATTGTTCCTGTCCACTTGATCTCGCAACAGAGGTTGCATTTGTGACCCTTGAGGTCTTCCGTCCGAGGTGATTTTATGGCTGGGTGGGTTTTGTGTCCAAATGTATTTCATTTTACATTATTTACCCTCGCGCATTTACGGTGCTTCGATGGAATTTCGCTCCCCAGCGGCGAGTGTGTTATTAGTGCCGTCGTCTTATTCCTCTTTTGTTTCCCGGGGTTTCCAGGCTGCCTTCTCTGACTTTCTGCAGAGGAGTTCAAAGGACCTGGCGAAGCACGTCAAGGTCGTGGTAAGGCTGCACAAAAAGCCGCTTATCGGTGCAGACCGTCGTGCGGATGCCACGCTTCGCCGGTGGACATCATTTTTTTTTTATTTAGTCACTCGTTTGATTTCTTTGTTGTAGGATTTTTTGTCGTATTTCTACACTTCCCGCCCACCGTCACACACTGCCACTTCCCTTCCTTTTAGCCAAATCCTCCGCCAGAACTCGCGGAGGAGATTCGGAGCCACGATTGTTACAATGTGCTTCCCCACGATAACGGGAGGGTTCACGGGTCTTTGCAGCGGGGAAGTTCAAAGGTCATTCATATTAAAACAATGAAGGGGCAAAACGTGTATTGTAGTATGTATGCTTTAAGTAAAATGAGGTGTTGTTTTATAATGGCATCCATTAAGTTATTTTATATAAAATGTGGACAGTATGCATATATGCTTCGTAGATATTCTCTTCCAAAAGAGGCCTATTGTATTCAGTGAGCTCACACAGATTTAAATGTCGTTAGTTGGTTGTATCCACAAGGCCAGGGTTTTCAAACGTCAGCATTTGTGACCCACCGTGGAGAACCTTCCCGTGTTTTACCAATCTTATCCTTTCATATGCAAATTATCTCGGTAATTGGGTGAAAGCGGCTGCATGGTGTAGATTTTTTATTTACTTGGAATATGCATTGCAATCATTGCCCCCTATTACGAAAACCTGCCAGTGCTCGATTTAAAAACGGTCATGAGACCCAGTGAGGCTTTCCTGGGTAAACAAGCGTAAAAAATATGAAAAGTGAGTCACGAGGACTGGCTTTTGGTGGAAACCCTGCGCTCAGCTTACGCAGCGTGTGAGCAAGTGAGGCCACATCAGTGGATGCAGATATTCATAGCAGCGGGAATTCTAGCCCGAGCGGCGCCAAGATGGGAGGGCCTGCACTTGATAAGCAAACATTCACTGTCAAGCAATTGTGTTGAATGTTAAGTAATACCTGCATCCATAGACTGCACAGGACCCACAGACATGCATAGGACCCATAGGCTTGCACATGAGCCAGCAGTAACTGAATAACAGGGGAACTCTAGGGGGAGGGGGTACTAAGGTGGGAGGTGCGTTTCCACTGTGCACTCTAATTGTAGTCCTGTCTAAAATGCTCGCATGATGCAGGGCTGAGGCATTTTGTCTCAACACGAACACTTGAGACGGGACATTGTTTCGTCTCATCCATGCCAGCTCCCTTAGCCGTGCATCAGCGGGGTGATTTGCTGGGCTACGGTGTACCCATTGATTTGATACAATAAAAAAAACATCTATTCGTAACATCTGATCAAAAGGAATTAACTCAGGAAGATGCACAGAAAACACTTAAAAGCCGTTGCCAAGGCTACAACCGATTGCAATTTTATGAAAAATGCTTTATTTTACTAGTTATTTTGTTACGTTACTAAATGTATGGCAATAAACAATTCATATAATTTTTTTGGCCACACGATTCATTGCGAGCCACTGCTAATACCCAGCATGCAGTTGCTTTTACAATGTTTTGCTCATTTCTTTCGCTGTGTTTAACTGCTGATGAGTAGCTGTATCGCCCAGGTTGATAATTAGATAGTAAGAAAAGAGACAAAAGACTTGGACTACGTTGGGAATTTGTGAAATGATAACTTGTTGAATTAGCAATGCTTGTAGAATGTGTTGTTGTCGTAAAGACCGTGCATTGAATGAACCGGCGGTGGCGCTTGCAGCAAAAAAAATGATCTTGAACATTAACCGTCTTAACGGAAATGAAGAATAAATACAAAAAATAAAAACAAAGCTGAAAATATACGACAACTGGAAAAAAAAAACAAGACATTACACTCGTAGGGTGCTAAAAATAATATTTTCCTAAAATTGTATTAGCGTTAAGTGTGTGGAATAATAACGCGATGTTCGAATTTTACTTCACAAAAGGAAACAAACGTTTTGTCGGCAGCGACATTTCCATTATTGACTGCTTGGAGAGTAATCTCGCCCTGTTGTACATTGCAGTGTGACGGAATGGATTTGACGCCAAAAATCCAGGAACTCAAGTTTCAGTGCATCGTTTTTCTCAACATTCCGAGGTCAGTTGCGTGAGGCAAGATTGTCGCTTGATCTCAACGGTGGCGTGGAAACGAAACGGGCGCAGCGCGATTGAGTGTGTAACGATGCTTCGTTCGCTCGGGTAAAGTCGAATGTTATACTTGTCGAATCGTGCCTGTGAATATACATTATTTAGGATCTGTACAAGTGCAGTGGTAGGGTTACTTTTTGGGCTGATGGAGTGAACAAAGTGGTGCAAATTATAATCCAAAAAAAAACCCCAGAAACATAACCCCTAAGGAGGCTGTAAAAGTGGAACGAAAAATGTAATTGTGACAATTTTTCAAATCACTTTATGTGCCACGTATTATTTACATCTAGCGGTCTCCCAGGGCTTTATCGAAACAGCAGCTGTACCGTTAGCAAACAGCATAGGGTGACCGCCATTCAGTCCGATTGACGCGACCGTCTCTCACAATCGTTGAGTTGGAGTGACAGCTGATTGGCTTCAAGGCCAATCCTGGGCTGGTGTGAAATGCTGCGACCCACCTGGAGTTTATGGGAGCAATAGCAATGCTATTGGCAAATTGCAAAAATCTTTGGTGACTCTCCCTTGCCAGCTCGGTGACAAGTCCACTCTCTCATGTTCCATCGCTTGTCGGGAAGTGACAGCTGACCTCTCCGGGGAGCCAAACTTGTGCGGTTGTAAAATGTTGTGGCTGCCCCTTCTGTTGGCAACAGACTATCATTAGTTCGTGCCCTGGGGGGGGGGGGCTCTCTCAGTGAAAATCAGAAGTCATGCAATGGGGGGGGTGGCCTTGACAAGCCGAACCGGCACATGGCAGCCGCGTGCTAGAAGCTCCGTGTGTTCCTCAGACAAACCCCCGAGGAGGAGATGGTGCTGGACATCCTCCCAGAGTTGCTGTTCCTTTGACAACGCTTTTAGAATGTTGTTGCGTGTGTGTTCTTTCTCTCTGTTCGCCACGACGGTGTGTCGCGCGCACTCCTTTCCTGCGCGCATCCACGCAGACTTTGGTAACCGGGAACGTCTCTGCGGTTGCGCACATCCCCACGCATCCCCCCAGGATCTTTGTTATGTCCGCCTCCTTGTTGACGATGTTATTGAAAGCTTAATTTATTAATTTAATCAATGGCCTTCACTATTATTAGAATGCGGGAGATGGTAGTGGTTGGTTTTCCACAATAATTGGGTTTAATTATTCACATAATCATAATTCACCTGTGGAATACACTTCATCACACGGTTGTTTTTCTACTCGTCGTGTTAATATATAATGATCTCGATTGTGCATGGCACACATCGATTTTATAGTGGGCTAATTGGCAGATGAATTTCGATTTATTACACATTGACCAACTGGAGTCGTGCACTGTTTGTGTGAACGTCACTCTTCGGAGCCGATAAAACATTCCTGAGTTGTATGGTTTTTTTAAGACGTTTTGTGAATGCACCCGCTGCGTCTGTACAGAGTACAAATCCAAATTGTATCGTGCAGCAGTTTAGTACAAAATAAAAAAAATTAGGGGAGTGGCATGTTGGGTAATTGTTCAGTGTTGTGGTGCACAAAATTCATTATCGTAAAATGACTTTGAGCAAAGTTAACAACTTAATAATTCGAACGATTCCAAACTTTTCGCATCATGCTCGTAAATTGTGTTATATTGTTATTGCACGCTGCAGGTAGGTAAGGGGAAAAATAAGAAATTAGATGTGAGAACTCTGGTAATCGGAGGACGAAATTCGAATTTTGGGATGCTTGTAATGCTCCGGCACAATTAATGTTCCGAAATTGGCTATGAAATTTGGATGCATGAGCGGTTTTAATTTGACACGGGAGAAATACGAGGTCTACTTCTACCGAATGAGCATCCAGCGCTGCTCATAAGAGGTGAAGCCGGGGCCTCCTGTTGGGCTACTCGGTAATCAGCTGGTAGCCAATATTCAAACCAGCCTGTGCCACCATAACTGCCCCCCTTAAAAAGCCATAATGGGTCTGTAATCACCGTGGGGTTATGAGGCGGCTGATGCAGCCTTGCATTTAATGGCGGGACCTACAAGGCCGACAGCCACAAGGCTGAGATCAAAAGCCACGAGGCCAAGGCTGAGGTCAAGGCAGGGAGCCTTTTAGGTAGAGGCCATTGTCAAGGCCGGTGCCTCTAAGCGATGTCCTCTGACCGAGACATTGTCCTTGAGCCGGTGTCAAGGCCTAGGAACTGGCCTTGGACTGGTCCAGGCCTAGGCTTTGGACCAGTCCAAGGCTTAGGACTGGCCTTGAGGACACAAGACTTGGCCGATATATCTGCGGTTCCTAGCCGAGCGTAAATTATACCATTTGCAATTGTGTCTTTGCAAAAATTAGGCCACGATATCCTTGATTGGTGTCCACTGTTGAAATGCACCCCTAGGGACCGGGTAAGCTGCTTTACGGGCTGTTGGTGCAGCCGATATGAAATAAATGAAGACCGCACATTATCAAGGATTAGAGATTTAATTATTTTTTTCTCCACCGCCTGTTGCCTTGAGGAGCCGATCAACTTTTACAAGTCACTGGGCACCAGTTCTGCCGTGCCAACCTTCGAAAAAAAATTCGTCGATAATGAGTTTTGCAGAGTGAGCGATGGTGTGAGGGAAGTCGTAAAAATGACACGGTCCACCCCCCGCCGCCCCTGCAGAAGTGAAGCTAAATTATGCAAAATAGGAATTGGGATTGTTCATTATGGGTGTATTAACTGCCACGAGTAATTGCATTAAATTTAAATCAGGAAAATGGGGGCAGCAATCTCGTTTGGCTTTCTCCCTTGTCCAGGGTTAAAGAAAGCTGTGTTTTATTTGCACAGAAAATGCTCGAAAAACCTGCGGCCGCCCGTGTGACTTTATGTTGGTTATTTATTACCTAGAGATCTGGACAATAATCACGTAATTTGTGTTAATGAATACTCCGAATTAAGGACACACTGTGCTTAACCTATGTCCAATAATGGATGATTAGGACTGCAGAGATATTCCGAAGGGCCAGATGCCTGCAAATTCTTGGCGCTGAATGGAGAATGTAGAAGTGTACTGGTTCAGGGAGTGGAACACATACACACAAGATTTTTCATTATTAACACTGCCTTATGGGAACCACTGTGGCAAGATGTTAACTACCTCGCCTGGTATGCAGGAAGTCGTGGGCCCGATCTCTACCCTGATGCCTATATATTTGGAGTTTGCATGTCTCTCTTCCTGTGGTTGCATGGATTTTTCTCCAGGTCTTCCGGTTTTCCCCTCCACATTTCGAAACATGCATTTAGAGTATTTGTCTGCTATAAATTTCCACTTGATAAGCCACTTCGTTGAGCTATCATTTGTGGCCACGTTGCTTCTGAAGAAGAGCTATATAGCTAAGTGGGTCTTACCTGGTAAAATAAAACATATTGCTTTGTAGCAAACATCTCGTTGGCTGACGTTTTGGGCAATGGCCCTTTTTCAGAACAAAGATATTATAATTGGAGATTGCACTTTACACTGTGGTGCACCAGGAGGACTGGAAAATTTGAAGGAAGTTGACATTGAGTGGTTTTGAATTGTCATAAACAGTTTTTTTATCGATAGACATCGCATAGCGAACAAACCATTTGAATTTGTCATTTCTTAAAATGTTTCTCGTGTTCTCAAGGTAGTGCAGTGTCCAATTATCGAGTCACTCATCGAAATGTCAGCTTATTGTACATTTATCTCAAAAAGCAGAGTAAATGATGACTGTGATAAAGTTTAGTTCTATATATATAATGTGTGTACGTAAAAACAACTGCCAATACAGTCTCTGAATGTATTGTGTCATTATTGACTCACTTCTATATAAAATGTACACCTGTTCGTGAGACTCTATGGGGCGTGTGTGCGCGCTGGAGTGATGCAATTGGCTCGTGCGTGCAAAAGTCTGATCCATTGTTGCATCGCGAGATTTTGAGAGACGGCGAAGGCTTCGGTAGGCCTATTTTTAGCAGTGGATAAATAATGTCTGATGATATCTGCTGATTCAATACCATCATCGTCGACCACGATCTACAATCGTGGAACAGCCGCACTGAGATTTAACAAAGAAGCCACCAACACGTATCGTTAATGGCGTCGGTGTAAGGGGATATGCTTCAACCATATGTCGAATCAGTCATCGATTAATTTTGCCTATACATTATGAGACCTCCTTTGCCAGTAGCAAGATATAGTAATAGGTTTTTACGCCTTTTGGCGTCATCTGATCCAACACCATTGGAGACTAGGCTCTAAGAAAAGCCGTCTCGGGTGTGGACCAATCAATTTCAAGGACAGTGCATATCATTATCAGAGTTGTTTCTTTTTGTTTGCATTTTGACTGCTTGTGTTGTGGTTATTGCAAACATGATCCCTAGTATAAAGGTGTCAGTTTTGGTGCCAGATAAAATGGTAAAAACCTATGACTAACTTTGCCTATTTACAACATCATGACACTGCCATTATACACGTTACCTCTTGCGGAGCGCACAGTGTAATTGACGAAGGCGTTGAGTTTCTTTTTGTTGCTCGACCACTTGCGCACCGCCGCCAGCGCCGCGCAATTTGTCTCGCGAAGTTTTTGGACGCGGAGCGCCCTGCGATCAACGAACGTCTCAGCCGTGGCCAACCAAATGACGACCCCGCCCGCCCCCCCACTCCTCCCCGTCACCTTGTGTGGACGACAGGTATTGTGCTGGCACAATGCCCTGGGGGACGCCCGGCGAGCACCACGACTTTGAACCGCAGAGGCACGACGACGGTTACATCGAGGTCATCGGCTTCACCATGACCTCCCTGGTACGACGCCGCTGCCGCCGCCGCCGCCGCCGCCACCTCTCCTTGCCTGAGCTCATTGCCTGACCCGTGCGGTCGTCTATAATAATAATAACAACTTCTATTTTTTTTTATAAAGCGGCATTCTTATTGATGTATCTTCCTGTGACGCCAGCGCGTGGCTCGTTGCTCGGCAGTATACGAAGCAGGAAAGAGGGCCTTCCCGAAATTTGTACGAACCGCCACTTCGTTGAGCTGTCATTTGTGACTCGGTCGCTTCTGAAAAATAGCTTCGTAGCTCAGCGGGCCTTACCTGGTAAAATAAAAAAAATCGTTTAGTTTTAACAGTGCTGCGTTAGGTGGCTGGGCAAAAGTGGTCAATTCGCTTGCCGCTGCAGCGGTTGGCATCAACTTGACGGGCTCAATTTTCTCAGCTGCAAGGTAATGCAGCAGGACATTATCACCCAGGTTTGCCGCCCACTTTAGAGAGGGCTTCAGACAACAGCCTCCGTTCACGTGTGCAATTATGCGTCCTGTCTGCGGCCAAAAGTTAAAGATTGCCCTCAACTAAATTGTGAAGAATATTTCCGCGTCTCCATTGCAATGTGGATAATTTGGCTGTAAATATAGTCCATGAAAGTCGTTTTATTCACGTAGTAATTATGTGGGGGAGAGGGGGGGAGAGCTGTGACACTGTGGTTAGTACACTACCTTCTTATCCTGCCTCACCTGAGTTCAATCCCTGGCCACGGCTAACATCAGAAGCGAGGGTTATCTGAAACGGTCCCAGCCTGGCCCCCCACTGTCCCCCCACCCCCCCCCCATTCACCAACTTGCCCTGACCAACGTGGGTTGAAGTATGGTCAAACAACCCCTATGACCAACATTGCATGGTGAAGCATAGCAGTGGCTTCACAGTGGGCTGTAACTTATTCATATTAATAATCCCACACGTGCAGGTTGTGTTATTTCATGCCTTTTGCTATTGACGCTGAGCTGCGCCCCCGCGCTGCCGCGGTCGAAGCCGCCCTCCAGCCGCTTTTTTGTTGTACCAGTGTGGCTGGTCGTCTCATTGTCATCTGGCCGAGTAATGATGAGGGGACGAACAATTCAACTGCCGCCGTGCTTCCGCGGATCAACAAGTTGTCAATGGATTTTAGGGGTGCGATTCGATAAAAAGAAACAAAGTAGTCCCTCTAGTGGCTGCGGTGGGTGACAATGCACCCACCGCATGCAACACGCACACATTGTAAAACATAATTTCTCTCGCACAGTTTCGGTGCTTTTATTAGCTGGAACCGAGGAATCAATATAAATCGATGAATCCCTGCATCCCTCCACCCCTATTTACATGCCCACGCGATCGTTTTAAAGGCGACATTCGATGGCTGAGTGCGGTGCTTCACAGCCGTACGTTTTCATCATGGTGGAGGGGCGGGGGAACTCCCATCTGTGAGCCTGACAATGACGAATCCCTCTTTTTAACGCTTCTATTTTTCCCTTTGGTGCGGACGAGCAATAGCCCCGGTAACCTCCAACAGCCTCCCCCCGGCTTTGCCGCACACCCTGCAGGCGGCGCTGCAGGTCGGAGGTCACGGCGAGAGGCTCCACCAGTGCAAGGAGGTGACGCTGACCACCTACAAGAGCATCCCCATGCAGGTGGACGGGGAGCCCTGCAGGCTTGCGCCATCCATCATCCACATCGCGCTGCGTAACAAGGCCAACATGGTGCAGAAGGCCAAGAGGCGCCCCTCCATGCCACTCCTCAACGAGTGAGTGGCGCGGCCTTGGGCCGCCTCGCTTGGGCGCTGTCGCCCACCCGACGCGCGAATGATCTCGGGGACGCATTTTTCAGGTCATCGATTAGCGCGGTTCACTTACGTATGGTGGTGAAGAAGTTCAACGTACGTACGTTCAGGTCATGGTGACCCACCACCCACCATCAGCCCTTTCCTGATTACAATGACAGGACCCGTTTGGTATAAGCTCGAGCGACGATGCCCCCTACTTGTGCTGCACGGGGACAGCTGCCGCTATAGAGGGTCCCCTAGGCTAAAAAAGCTGCACTCTGAGACATTTCGCTCCACCACGGACGCAGAACAGGCATTATTAATCTAGAATTATTAAGCATGATTTACAAAGGTTTTGTATTTTTAAGGAAATTAATCCACTTGATATTTTTTTGTGTGCTTCATCAAGTCTGTTCATTCACCGTCGGAAATTAAAATGGGCTGTCTTCCGAGGGCACGAGGCCGCAACGCGCGTCCCTGTAAAGGGTTAAATAAAGGCACTGGCACTGAGCGGCGATGTTCCCAATTTTTTAGATTAACAAACCCGACAACAGCGGTGAACCCCCCGGTGAAGGTTCTAATGCAATTTTGGTAATATAACTGCCACGATAAAAAAAATAACCATACGTAACCCAAGGCACGTGTACATTTGTGGCGGCGTGATTAATCACCCGTGATTTTGTGTGGCATGTTTTTGAACCCGTGACATTACGCAAAATAATCAGGAACATTTTCCAGGGAACCGAAGCATACCAGCAGACGTTTCGGCAAAGCGATCCAGCAACTACATTGCATACATTGGAGCACTCCTTGTGCTTTGAAGCTTAATTTCTCATTTTTAACGCTGACATTTTATATTGCTTTATAACATGGCCCTTTAATTAGGCTCGTTGTTGTCCTGCCACGTGCTCATTGGATGAATTAATCACGAGAAACTTTCAATACATCGCCAAGTACGGACGTATTTCTCGCACTGCTGCTCCAGCAGTCTCAAGTCAATTTTAGTTTTTGTTGTCTTTTTGGAACGGCTGACTTACATTGGAGTATGCGAATTATTTCTTCCCCTAACTATCCTTTGTGGCGCTGGGAGCGACCACAGTCGGTGTTGGGAAGATGACAACTGTATGCCCAAACGTAATCCGTGAGATAATTTCTGTAACTGCCGTATTCATATGCGGAGCATCCCGTTAAATATCACGCTCGCTACACCACTAGATTGTACGATGGTAAGCACAGCTGGCGTTAGAACAAGTTAACGTTAAAGCTTACATGCAAAAATGTATACGTATTGGCATGGAGAGGGGATTGAGAATTGTGCTGTGGGTCTGTGAGAGTGTGTATGCGGGGAGTTGTGGCACAGTGGTTGGCGCACTGCGCTACCAACCCAGCATTTGACCTGGGTTCTTTATCCAGCCATGGCTAACATCAGTGGCAAGTGGTATCTGAACCTATCCTCGGCCTCCCCTAAGTTGACTCGGCTTAAAATTAGTACTTGGTGCAATGTGTAAACATCACGGGAAGACAAAGGCACCTCGGCATTGGCATGCGGGCTTTAACAGATGCTAACAGCAGTGGTATGCATGCCTTGTTGTGTTTGTCGACGTTTATGCATGTGCGACTCCAAACATAGCAATGAGGGAAGCAACTTGCAGGTTCAGAATCAGCACGAGCGTTGTAGAGGTTGTCAGGAAAAGGAGGTTGTGATGGTGGGGCCACGTGCACTACCCTGGGGGAGGGCAGCTCACCGAGACGGGCATCAGAGCGGCAGCCAGAGGGCAGCAATCAGTTGAGCTGAAGGCAACCGGTGTGCCACGATGAGTCTATAAGAGCTGCTCCTTGAAGGTCGGTCGGGTGTTTGACTTGGCGACAACCTGCGGGACCTCGGGAGAAGCGCGAAAGCGACGGCGCGGTGTTGTGGCATCAGCGTGCGCGTCAATCCTGCGCGCACACACGTGTGTGTGTGTGTGTGTGCGTGCGCACGCGATTAAATCCTCGTCCATTTTTTTATCGTATTCATTTTATCTTTTTTTATTTTGTCCGCAGCCAGCAGTCGCTCCCGGAGCAGCTGCGCATCCGAGTGAGCCGCGTGAGCATGCATAACTACGAGGCGCTGTACTACGACAAGGAGAAGCTGCGGGAAGCCTGTGAGTCCCCCGCGGCGTCACGGTTCATGGCTTGGCACGCAAGCGCTCCCTAACCCCCCCATAGCCGCGGTACCCACCTTCCCCTGAGTGTCAGGGCGCCCATGGTGTTACGCTTCGTCTCCAACTCTATACCCACTCGATCTTCTCTGGCCCTCCGTAGGTTTATATGTGCACGCGGCAGAGCCATCGTCTGGAACGTCGCCTATTGTATATTTTTTTTCTTTTGAAGGCCACGCACGGCGTTGTTGACGAACGTGTGTTGAGGATTTTTGTTGTCATTTGTGCATTGTGCGCCGCTGCCAACGCAGTACCGCCGTATCGTTTGTTCACTGCGCATCGCTGTATTTCAAATGTGGCGAAATGACAAGGTTTCAACAAGTGTATGTCGCGGTTTAGGAACGCACGTTCAGTGCAATGAAAGAGAGAAGACTCGACTCGGGAAGCGAGTTGCGCCCCCTTTGTTCATGATAATGCTTCGATTCGCAATTGGAAGACATGTTGTCGTGAGCTTTTATATAATTGCTCCTCTTGTAAGCTTACGCAAATTCCACTGGAAAACATTGGTTTGCGGAGTTAAGTGGCCGCGAGAGGTCATTTTGTGAGCGGACGAAAAAGCAGCACTTGTTTGTGGGATTCTTCTTCCCTCACCTTTAACTCGGTGGCTTCTCGTGGCAGCCGCAGGTGCGCTGCGGACCGGTCCTCCTTCGCTTGGCGATTTCCAAGTACGCCTTTGCGGGTTATTAGCGATTTTCCAAACGTGGGTTTTGTCGGGAACAGTGGGTGAAAGTGCAGAGATTGTGGATGATGGGGGCGAGCGCTTTTGAAGGCTGATTAAAAACAAAGAAAAAACATGCGGACAAGCCAAGCGCATGATTAATTGCTGAATTTATGATCTGAATTTATGATCTGTGACAAAAACAACAAAAAAACCCCGACCTGCAATGAAGACGTCAAGAAGCTTTGGAAACTGAGGAAGACATTAAGTCACGCGTCGTTAAAAATTTGCACTCGCCTGCCCGCGAAAAGCCCTTGGTGCTTTTCTGCACCGATTGGAGACGCTTCATCGTTTGAGGGGACTCATGCCTTCCACTAGAACCATCTGGTGATGTTTCTGCGTGTGAGATGGAATATAATGTACACACAGTCCTCATGCGGATGCTTCCACAAGTGGTGTAATAGCTGGCACACTGGACTTGCAGTTCGGAGGGTTGCCGGTTCGATTCCACCTTCTTGCGCGGCAGTCGAAACAAATAAAATGTGTTTCTTAAATCCTCTCACCACTGTCGACCCAGTAGCACAAATGGTGCGCCTCAGTCAGTCGATGGGCAAGTAACGTGCGGTGAGGTAAAATGTCGGTACTTCCTCGTCTTCCATCTGGCTTGGAAGAGTAGGCCAAGTATCCTCTAGAGGGCGGGGAGGCCCCTGCGCCAGCGGTGGCGCTTAGCGAGCACTTGCAGGGTTGCACCCTTGCCTCCCTCGTATGTTCTAAGGTGCAGCGTTTTGAACAGTTTATTCAATAAATCCGTGGCATGTCAAATCAATGCAATATTAGTTGCTTTAATTGTTAGCGAGTGGGAAATGGTGGAATCCAATGCATCGGATCTTTTTATTGACGGATTACGCGCGCAAGTGCCGTAAATTACTCCCATCTCGTCGTTATTTTTAACAAGGGGGCTGGGGAGGGGGGGGGGGAAATGGTTGGGGTTCAGGAGACATATTCGGTGTGTGCGTTTTATTTTTATTTTTTTAATTGTATCCCATTGGAATTCATTAAGTGTTAGAATCTTGTCCGTGGGAATTTCAGGTCTATGGAGAATGCACGGGCAAAAGCAGTTTTTTTTTTTTGTTCGCGCCAGCTGCTATTGTATGCAGACAATTATAACGTGGATTCTTTTTTCGTACTCTTTTAGCAATGGATCGCAACCCACAAATTGCATTTCTTTTACAGCTCAGACTGCTCGCCGGGGTGCGCGACCTCCCGTAGCCGAGTCCCCGTCGTCTCGTTACTACGAGTCTTGTTGGACAGAATGTAAGCCAGCGAACGGCTTTGCATTCGGGAGAGGCTCGCGGAGAAAATTGCGAGAGCGTTGTGTACATTACGAGCGCTTGATCACAGGAAAAGTAGAACATCGCCTTCACACGGACTTAACCTGCGTTAGACAAAGGGGGCTTATTTGCAAACGTTCGCGCAGGCGTAATCTGATGAAATATTTTACACGGTCGCTGGCTGCCATGAAAACCACGGCGAGCGTGAAGATTCTTTTTTTAAACACGTTTAAGGAGGAGTTGGCCGGGTGGCTCGGGGGTCGAAGCGCTGAGCCGCCGCCGCCGCCGCTGAGATCCTGGGTTCGAATTCAGGCAACCGCCTTTAATAAAACTTAATTAAACATAGCTGCAAACTGGCCAAATTAAGTGCAGAACCGAATTAACTGTGATGGTATATTTTGCCGTTGGTGACCGGCCTGTGGCCATCAACTCACTACATATGAGAGTCTGGTTTGATTGTCACCCGACGAGCTTTACGAACATATGCGGGGCGGGTGGGACCAGAGGTCACCGGAAGGGACCTCGGTTGTAGCTCCACGATACCCACTTTCCGTGGGCCGTTCTCGCGCACGAAAAGGTTTGCAGCGCCAGATGAGAGATCCGAGTGGATTTCTTGACTCGCGACTGCACCGTCGTTGTTGTGGCTCATTCTTCGGATGACATGGGATGAGCGGTGCCGCGGGTGGTGTCTCATTCGAATTAAATCCGTCGCCCGAGCGGGTTGCATCTGTCTTTATCTCAAAAGAGCAAAGCGGCGTGATTGAGATCGGCACATTCTGACCATCGTCACGCGCCAATGATTGATTGCCACGGTAAGAGCGGCTTCTCGTTGACGGGAAGCGCGATGAGCGGGTCGGACGACGCTACATTTTTAAGCGACGATAAAAGTTTTGTGCCGACATCACCAGTAATGTGTGACCTCTGTCATTTGCACGTTTTTTTTGTTAAATACGTTTTATTAGCACCAGCTATAAAACCCTTGCACAACAAACGCCAGACTTTTCTTGCCATTTCAATGAAGTGGAAAGTGTGAATCTGCGGTGGTAAATGCTTCGTGCTTGCAGTGGCGGTGGTCTGGACAGCCGAGTTACATTAATGGATCTCAGTGATTGATAGATGGAGCACGGCAAGATATATCTTTGATTGTAATGTTTAGTGTGCTGCCAACTTGGGCGCAGAATAAAAATTGTGATGATTAACTATAAATGAGCTTGCAGCTTCTGGGCAAAAAACAAACAAACTATTGTATGTTTTTCAAAATTATGTAAGATTTAGGAGAGTAAATTATTGATAACTCTTATTAATTGGCAGTTGCTGCTATATTCATTGACCGAACCACACAAGCCATTAACTCACGGGTGGAAATTCTGACATGTTGCCGATTTATTTGACTGACTTACTTTCCATACTAAATGTTTTTTTTTTGTTCACTTGTCCGATATGGCATTATCTCAACAGATATTTTGATTCAATAGTAATTGTTTTTTTATAATGAGGAATATTATTTTTGGGAGTTATCATGCATGTTTCATGGAGTGATATTTTTTTTCTGAGACAGAAATTCCCGTGGCTGAATAATTGCCCCTAAGCTGGGTCCTCCTCGTGTTTTATTCGCTTAATGGGCTTCTTGTTAGTGAAGTTCACGGTCAAGTTTTCAAGTTTGCTTTTGTTTAATGCAAGAGAGACCTGGGACGAGTGTCATTTGCTGGATTGGCCTGTGACACCGCAATGACAAAATAAAAACACGCGAAAACAAAGATGGCAAAAAAAGTAAAGCAAGCAGAACAAAATCCATGACTAAAAACAAAAGCATGCATCACACGAGGAATCGAACACAGTGCACATGCATGAATCAACGTTAAATCAAAGCTAAATATTTAATTTCCCGCAGTGCAAATTGGCTCGGACTAATCACCTCCACATTTTTTCTTTGCATAATTGAAAAACTAGGCTACTGAAAGGTTAAGACATTGAACAGATGTATGTTGAGTATAGTACTCATATGTAAAATTGCAAGAGAAGCTCAATGAATACATAATGCATTGATATATATATGTGTGTATGTCGAACTTCTATCGCACCGTTCGTAGCCAACCCCGCTAATCGGAGGTGCGGGGGAAGGACAACAAACTATGGTTCTCTGTGTGAGTCTTTGGGTCTCTGTATGAGTCTATGAGTCTCTGTGTGAGTCTATGTGTATGTCGAACTTCTTTCGCACCGTTCGTAGCCAACCGTGTGAATCGGAGGTGCGGGGGAAGAACAAACACAAGCTAAACTCTCGGCCATTCTCAGTCCACTGTTGGATGAAGGCCCTCTGAAGCCAGTGCCACTTCCTGCGATCCTGTGATCTAATAATCCTCTGAACTCATTTAATCGCTCCATCTCCCCAGTCGATGTAATGTCCTACGCGTTCCATTCCATCATTGTCCTTGACCATCAGCCATCGCCTCTCCTTGTGATGTGTTCTGCCAAAGCCCACTTACATTTCTTAACAGTTTGAATGATATCCTTAAAGCTCCATGTGTTCTGTAATCCACGCGCTACTTTGTATCTCAATGTGTAATTCCAAGCATGCACCTTTCAACTTCGGATCCCAATTCTGTCATTGATTACCGTGCTTCTGAACCGTACGCCACAGCAGGTAGTATGGCATTGATGCATATACAGAGCTTAATTTATCAAAGCACTGTAAACCTAAACCCTTTTGGAATGAAAATGTTCACATTTTCTACTGAAGATTTATTTTCCCCAACTCATTCATTGTATGAAGTGCTGGTTTGTTGAGAGTTCTTTGCTTAATATTTTCATTTTGAGAACCAAGTTGGTTGTGTCTTAGCCCTCTTTAAATCACAGAAAATACATTGATTTTGTTCAAAAAGCAATGGAAATAAATGGATTACAAGAAATGAATTAAGAAACCTCACTAAAGAAGGTTGAAAAGTTGAGCTCAAGAT